CAACATCACTAACATGGGATACCCAAACCGACTGTCCGGGCGGTCTTGGCATTTTTGATATATATATAACTGTTCGGCAATGAGGAAGAAGATGACAATGTGCTCAAGTACACTGATACCAAAGGGGAGATGTTTAGATAGTTCTAAACGGCTCGTATCAATACTGCAAAGCATCAGTATTGCGACTGGAAATGTGGAACAAATGATATCACTACTTTAGCAGAGGAGTTCCACAGGGAGTCTAGCATCGGCAGCCGGAGGAGTTGCTGCTTAAATCCTGGACGTATGGTCTCCCTACGGAAAGTTTTGTTCGGGATGTTCAGAGTCGCCAAGATTTGTTTCCCGCAGTATTTCAGAACTGTTTATCCGGCTACCAATGAGGTTTCCAGAGTTCAAAGATTTGCGAAGAAATAATTTTGCCGATAAATAATATAGGAATTGTTTTTACTTATATTGATCATTTGTAGATCAAGTAGCGACATACTACTGTGGAATTTTACCCAGTGAATTTTTTGTTGCTTTGGGTGAGCGAAATGTACCGCAATTCCATTATCTGATCATCAAATCAGCGCTGCTCATTTTATCAAAAGCAATGGTTAGATGCTGCTTTCTTGTTTGATCAGTTCGTCTTGGAAGCGATTTCAAGTGGTGTGAAAATCCGATATTTGTAATGCTGATGGAGTGTTCCAGTCACTGATCATTTGACAGATTATACGATTGATAAGCGAGAATAAAGTGCCTCCTGTTGCTTGTTTTTCAAGCTAATCCTGCAAATTCACGAGCTGCAAACATCTACTATACAATTAGTGATTTTTATGCTTGCTTTGTACTGTGTAACAGCTGCACAAAAGTCAAGCCATTGCTTGTGTGTGCTTGTTTGTGTGCATATGTGTGTATGTATTTATGTGCATATGTGTGTATTTGTAGTGTGTAGTGTGTATGTGTGTGTCCTAGTGCGTTTTTGTCCCGGCTTTCAACTGGGGAACACGGCCGTAAGTGTATTTTCATTTTAAAACCATAATGCTACGTACTACATATGTTGTCTGATCTCGGAAGCATACTAATACAGAAATAGATTTTCACCTCAGTCTAACAGATGGTTTAATTCCAGATACTCGCTATTAGTAAATATTTAGCTTCAATATTTTCACTGAAATGTCGCGAAGTTTGCTGCAAAACACTGCACAAACACTATTTTACGAATTTTGTCTATTATAAGCTGACTTCGAGCAACAGCCAAATCGACAATCCGTAAGTTAGAACATCCCTATATTATTGGATTGTTTCTGTCAGCAATATAAGCCGGATTTACATAAAAAGAGTAAATGGAGACTGATTTCTTAGATATGAAAGTGATTTTTTTAAAATATCAGTAGCGGTGTGTTGGCAGCCGATGAACGCCACTCCATTATTAAATGGTTTTCGCAGTATTCGGAAGGCTTTCCTTCCATCAAGAAAGGCAAGGGGAGCCACTCGGAAAATCCCAAAAAAAGTAACGCAAGTAATGGCGTAAGCTGCGAATGACTTAAACTCAGATATTAATGAGTTCAGCTTGTAAATACACCACGGTAGCATAACTTATACTGAATCTCTACACGGAGTGTTTGGGCAATTTTTACTGATCACGGCAAAAATAACTGTTTGCAGCGACCAGCGCATGACTCAAGATGTGGAAAAATTAACGCGAATTATAACGGTGGATTTATACACCCCAGTAACAACGGCGCCGTTTATAACTGCTTACTATACTTATCTCACTTATCGAAGGTTTGCTGCGAAATCAGCTCATAACTTAGCCAGGAAGCTGTCGAGGAATTCATTCAAACTAAGATGCGAACGAACTTAGTTGATGAACGATTAGCAATGTCCGACGAAAATATTATTTTTTTTTAAACAGTGAGTGAAGCATTTTTGCGGCGACCCGGCAAAGTAGAATGCTAAATTCTATAAACTGACACAAGTAGATTTCAAAAGATCAAAAAAAAATTGCTTGTAAGCAGTGCTTGTCTATCAAAATTGCTTGTCTATCATTGGCCCTTTCTCGAAAGAAAAAGCCAATGATACACTTGTCAGAGAGAAATTATAGTTAATCGAGCTATTTTATTGCCTCTACTTCCGGTTCTGCAGATAAATATGGAGTAATTTAGTTTTTATGCGTTTTTTTGCGGCTGTGCAATGCAGAAAACCCATATTGACAAGGTCGTCTATGTGTGTGTGTGTGTGTGTGCCCGTGTGTCTGTGCCTGTCACGGTTTTTATCTCAAGGCCTACAAA